GATATTTGCCTTTTTTAATGGAGATCGATCAGCAATCAAATGTAGAGCTAAAATTATCAGGTCACTGAAAGGCTCAGATCTCTGCCATTTAGGACTGGAGAGTAGGATCTGTGTTTTAAAATAGCTTGACCAAGTAGATTATGAAGATGATAAATCAACTATTAATAAGCCAAGATTCAGGGTTTTTTTTTTCCTCCTCTCTGTCATACATATACATTAAGCAAGTAAAAACTTGGCATGCCTAAATATCTCTTCTCCAAACCCTCCTATTGATCTGTAGACATCAAGATGGACTAAATATTGACATTGCTCCTAGGGGCAGAATAGCCAATGCCACCGTCTACCTAATACTTTTTGAACCTACCAAAACTCTAGGGAAGTAGTAGTGTCAAGTTAGCCTGAAGATAATGTCAGTGTACACTATTCAATAATAGTTTGATAATGTAACTTTCCCTAACAGGCAAGATGAGTAATGATGAGTAATAAGTTAAAACAAGGGATACTTTCTTGGTACCCAAGGCAAGAAAGGAAGGAAGGAAAGAAGGAAAGAAGGGAAGGAGGGAGGGAGAGATGAGGGGAGAAGGAAGGAAGAAAGAAAATTCAATTCCCCTTTTCTAGCTAAACAAAAACTCTAGGTTTTATACTCCTACAACCTAGATAAGGTCAAAGAAATCATAGAAAATGTTCGTAGGGAGAAAGAAACCTCAACTCCCAGCTGTTCAGCCAACTCTTCAACTCAGAAAACATCTTTACAAGAAAATATTGAAATAGTCACACAAAGACATTTATGGGGGTAGAAACAGTGAAGGATCTTAAACAGACCTGAACTCAGCACGAGGGATCTGTGACCGCATTGCTTCAACCTTCCATTACTTGCTTGTAATAACATATAACCCAAGCTCTTCTCTTAAAGCTAGCGCTCTGAATTCCCATAAGGAAATATCACTTTTCAGAGAAGAAAAAAAAAATCAAACACATTTTCCTCTACAGTCAATGATGGGTGATGGAAGGGGGAGGTGGGAGAAATAGGGTCAGAAGGGTTACTGGGCTTTTCCATTGTTTTGCCCAGTGTGACAAAAATCTCCATACTGCAGAGATTAAACTATGAAACTAAAAAGGCTCCAAATGGTTGTGCTATGCTGAGCTGAAGTCTATAAAATACTTCCACTATGAAGACAGCATGTTTTCAACTCCAGCTTGAAAGTTGTATTAAATAATGAATGATGTAAATTAGACTGCCTTATTTATTAACAAGTCTAGTGTGGCTTATGTAACCACATTTAAAATGTAAATGCATGGTTCTTAAGAGCACAAAAAAACACAATCCAAAGTTCTAGAATCCCCAGTGGAAGAGCTCAGAAGTAAACATCAGAGTAATAAAAACTGATGCTTTTCACTAAATCCTTGTGAATGTCAGGATTTTTTTTAAGTACAATTAATTGCAATGGCAAAGCTTATTAAAGAGAAAGGCCAAAATCAATGTATTAATAGCATAACATTACAGATGTTTCACCAAGTCAATAATAAATTGCCCATAGATGCTCTGATAATAGAAGCTGCAACTTCTATTTATGTTGTACTCAGAGAAAAAAATATATGAGCCTCATTTCCAAATATTATCTCCAAATTCCAAAAGACCATCCAAGAAATTCACAAAAAGATCCCCTTAGACCTTCCTAAAACATGTGAAATATAAAATGCATGTTTTACCTAACAGTGTGGATATATTTAACACTACTGAACTGTACACTAAAATAAATGGTTAAGATTGTAAATTTTATAGTATGATTTTTACCACAGTAAAAAAAAAAATCCATAACTCATTTTAACTAAGCCTTTTACAATTTGGTTGAGATAGAACAAGTCCTTTGCAATCCACTTTGACACTTGATACAACTGGAACTTAAATGGCCAATTACATAATTCCAATCACAAGCTTCACACTCTTGAATTCCACTCACATGTGACACTGGTATTGTCTTTAATGTAGCACTGTTGTGGTACATCCATTTCCAAATAGCAGGAGCTACCACTTAGCAATGTGATGTTGAGCAGGCATGATATGAATCTATAGATAGATATAGCTCCTTCCATATCACTTCAGTGTGTAAAGAATTTAGGAGAGATACTGTGAGGGGAAGATTTTTAACAAAACAAGTTCAAGCAATGACTCTGACAACAAAATGTCAGCTTAGTTTGAAATATGCATGCAAAAACAAAAGTGTCCTACCTTTTAATTAATTTATGCACATATTTTTAAAATGTTCTGCCACTGACTCCTTTTGAGCCCTAAGGGCACAGTGGTTCAATATGTAAATACTAAAAATACATTATTTTAACTATTTTAATGTATTTTTAAAAAATCATTATTTTAAAATGATCTGTTAAACTGCAATAGCAGGTTCTAATGACAGAGTGCTTACTTACATTATTACATATTATTATTTTCAAAAAATAAAAACATGTAACTTCAGTTACACACCAGTGAGCCATAACTTTAAGACAGGTCATTTTAGGAATATCAGTGCATCCAGTGACAAAGTTTTAAAAATGTATAATTTGGTTCCAACTGTAGCTGGTATCCACTGGCCAAGAATTTCAAAGCTTTTCAAGCAAATATTAATATGTAAGAAAAAGAGAACAGATGGTGTCATATAAGACTGAGCATGAAACCAGCTCATCCGCTAATGTCATTTTGAGATCAAAAAGGCAGAATTCAAAATAATTTCCAAACAAGTATTGTGATACATTTTACAAATAAATACACCAGGGACCAACTGACTGGACTCCACCACAGCTGAGGGACAGAGTAGACAAACAAACCTTCTCCTGGATCTGCTTCTCCCTGCCTAATATTACTAACCCAAGTCCCCATCCTGAGCACAGCCCTGTATGCCTCTCAACTCCCCCAACCCCAATAGGTGTTCAAATCAGAAGGGGAAAAACAAAATTAGAATATATACGGGAATGCTATGATAAAATGAATGACTGTGACAAATGCTTTAATAAATATTATAAAAATCTACTTTAAAAAGCCTAAAGGTGGCAACCTACCATCCTATATTAAAGAAGCAACAATTGTGAGAACAAATATAAGAAAGCTCTGCCCAAATCTGTTGACTTCATATATACATTCAGGCAATTAAGACCTCCACAGTTGAAATTATAATGTTTTTAATTTAAAGACTGTTTTATTTTCTTCTTTTCAAATGATGGACTTAAAAATATTAAAGTGAAAAAAAATTAAAGTGAAAAATCCATCAGCCAGCCAGCCATACCTCACTTCTTTCTTCCAGTGTACATCTACCACCTAATACAGACTTCAAAAACAATCACAAAGAAGAAAACTAATATCTAACTGTACAAATGTACTTTCCATGGTCTCCTAACAGTCTGAGAGGCTCTGAATTCCATATGGCCTCCTCTATCTGACTATTGACACCCCATCTCATGAAAAAGACAAAGGCCACAGGCTCTTTGGACCAGCCTGGTGAGTCTCCACCAGTCCAGCCCAAGGCCAGTAAGGTTGGGGCCCACCCCCTTTGCCTCTCCCCACCACCAGCTTCTGCTCTCCTTGCCAAAAAGATTGAGATTCTAGCATCCTGGATTCAGCCCCACGGTTGGTTGCTCCCGGCATATCTGAGCTATGCCAGGCCTGCACATTCCCCTCTGCTCTGTTGTCATTTCCTTCTGCCCAAGCCTTACAACATGAGCATCACCAGCAGAACAGGCAACAGAGACTAGAAAGGTCTCTTACTTACATTAAAAAAAACAGGTTATCTCGTTCGACTACGTTGGCAGAAACATGGATGTGCCTTTGGGTGTGTGGGGGAGGGAATGCATGCGCACTCGCCAACCGGAAGGCCACAGCCCAAGCCCTACTTTCAGGGCTGCCTATCTCAGTGTCAAACACTGTAAAGAAAACCGGGAGAAACTTTGCCTTACAATCCTCTACACGGATCAGGAGAGGTGACCTAGGAATGCTAGAGAAAGGACTGGTGAGTTCTTGCTTGCTAATGTATTTGTCACAAGGCATCCAAAGGGGAGAACAGAAATACATAGTTCTGCTTCTCCATCAAGCCAGGACAAGCTATAACATTTCCAGAGCCACAGGGGTCCAAGGCTAAAGTCAGCATTCATCAGAGTACTACACATTGCTTTATGATCCATCCCAGTTCTGGAAAATTATTCAATGGGCAATTAAGATTTATAATCCAAATGGTCTCAAAATCATATCTCTGGGAAGTCAAGTCCAAATTAAATCAGACCAGGCTTTTAGGCTTCCAACGATCACATTTTCTCTTTTGAGCGAGTGCATTTCAACACTCAGAACTTCTCCTCTTACAGATCATTTTCAAGGCCATCTCTGGATGCAATCTCCTAAGCAAAATCTGATATATGAAATGAAAAGGGAAATTGGTTAACTCCAAACCTCAGAGAAAGATGTTAAGGGAGAGACTTTCACTTCCTTCAACAGATTTCTTACAGTTAATTATTTTAACATCCTATCTAGTAAATATTACTGGAAATTCTCTAACCCAACATACATACAGCATTTTACAAAACAGAAGTGCCCAAATCTAAGTTATTGTATATGGAGTGTGTAAAGCCTGCCCAATAAAGCTTTGAAATATAAAATGCATATGGAATTTACACAAAGAAAATATCATATACATTTATATTATTGATATATAATATAAAATTGTATGTGTATAGATATATATATACATATATGTGTATGTGTGTGTGTGTGTATACACACACATACACACACACACACACACACACATATATATATAAAACTTATTTTCAAGTGTCACAGTTCTCCCTGCCCTGGCAGCCTCAAGCCAGTGAAACAGATAACTGACAGATGACCCATCCCTGTTCTCTGACTTCTCCCCACACGTGGGACAATATTCCCATCCAGGACCTACCGGTCTGGCGGGCCTGAGACCTATGGTCGAGGAGAAGAAGAAGAAGGAACAGCACTAGGAACTCACATTTCGGTGATATTCTCAGGGTCTGCACTGTTAGGCTCCAACCTTGGAAATGCCACGATGCCGGGAGAAGGGTCGTTGCACCAAATCCGAGAGGCAGTGCACTTGCAGGACGTGGGACAGGCGAGAGCGGCCCTCCAGAAGCCCACAACCAGCCAGCAGAAGCCCCAGAACCGCGCCATGGCGGGTCCATGCCACCTCGTCCAGGACGACATCCCCAGCGGCCAGTGCCAGCCCAAGTGCGTGTCCCTGCGCTGCACCCGCCGGCTTCCCCCTCCCGTGAGGGGAGGCCTCCCCTGCGCTCTCTGCCCTCTCGCCTCCTCGATGCTTGTCCAGGGCGCGCAGAGTCGATCGTATCCAAGGCTAAGTGTGTCCAGGGCTGAGTGTATTCCGGCGGGTGGCACAGTTCACAATGGCCGGGGCATCGCGGGCCGCTTCATAGGGGGCGCTACAGCCGCTGGGAGCTCCACGGTGGCCGCAGCTGCATGGCCCGGCAAGCCGGGAACCGGCCGGCGCCGCTCCCGGGACTCTCTGGGGCGCAGACTCCTTGCAAGACGCGCACGGAGATCTGGTACACACCTCGGGGCTGAGGACAAATAGATACGTGTAAGACTAAGCGCAGGACCCCATTACCACCAACTGGGACACTCTCCCTCCGCGCTTGCCTCACCCCCAACCCAACCCCAGCCAGGAGATTGTGGATGGATAAGCGCCCAGCTCCGGCCCAAGAATCAACTTGCCCCACGATGGCAGTGAAGCCTCTATGCCATCAATGTGCCCATCCTCTCTCCACGCCTGAAGCTGAGGAAGAGAAGGTAGGGAAGGGTCCTCGATATAGGATTCCATTGCACAGGCCGGGCGAAGGACCATTTAAAGAGGGACACGGAGAATGCCGGCGGCGATGACTCCGCGACGGGGGCCCCGAATGATGCTGCAGAATCCACCACCACCACTGGGTGCAGGGGGCGCGGGCAGGTGGCACGGCACGTCCCACCTGGGGAGCAGCTGCGGCAGCCACAGGGAGAACAGTGAGGGCCCGAGATGACGGAGGGCACTGTCTGCGCTGCTCACCCGGCCTCCGGCGCCTCACACCCGCCGGCAGTGCCTGGGTCCAGGCTCCTCCTGCCGCCAGGCACTGAGCGCAGAAAGCGCGAGAGAAGGAGCAGCAAGGCTCCTGATCCAACCCAATTCCGGGAGCCGCCGCCGCCGCCGCCTCTGCTACTGCTGGCGAAGTGACGTGAGGACTGACGCAGAGCAGGGGCAGAAACTCCAGAAAATTAGTCTGAAATCCAAAAACACACACGCTCATACACATACAAACGCATAACACCCTCCAGACAAAAGCTACAGGGAGGGGAAGGAATCTGGGGGCGAGCGGGAAAGAGGCTTCGGTGCAGTGCCACTGGCCAGTAGCAGACAGCAGTAGCATGTGGGAGTTCACACACACGCGCGCACACACGCACACATCTTGGCCATGTAGACACGCGCGTGCGTGCGTGTGTGTGTGTGTGTGTGTGTGTGTGTGTGCTTTTGGCTCCAGGTACCTCTGAGATGGACCGTTTCTCCCGCTCAAAGCCTCCTGATCCCTAATTCATGCCGCGGTCTCTTCTACAATTGCAGTAGAGGCCGTCTCCCTCTTTGAAATGGAAACCGGGCTTGGTTCAGCTCTGAAAAAATGCGCTGATTCTTATTATAGGAATCCTCCCTTACCTCTCCTTCTCGGCTGCGTTTTACTTTCCCACCCTGCCTAAAAGGAACAACCAGCTGTCCCTCAAATAAATAAAGATTGTAAACACCAAAACGTGTTCTGCATTGATAAGCAAGGAGCACTGCCCCCGTTCTGGGCCACCTATTTGGGGATCGATGGTTTTGGAGGGTCTTCCTTTTGGTGCTTTTGCAAAGGGAGCGGAGTCTCCAAACACAACTCCAGCTTTTATAAGTGATTCTTTTTCCTGCCGTTTTCTGCCATCACACGCCCGGGAAACAGACATGTGAGGGGAAGGGAGCGCGCCTGACGCGTATTGGGTTCTCTAAATGCGCGGCAGCAACCCTGGCCTGTATGATGTGTGGCGCCACATCATTTTCTCTCATTCTTGAACCTGGCAGAATGCAGCTATACCAAGATCGTAGCTTCAATCCCCGCTATGCCCACCTCCAGGGACCCCGAGCCCTTGCTCCCATGCCGTACCTTGCGCGTGTTCGCGTGTGCGCGGGTGTGCGCGAACGCGTGCCCTGCGCCCGCGCTGCCCAGAGCACCATAAGCATTCAGCTACAGAGAAGTCCAGCATGGACAGAGCCTCCGGTTCTCACTAGGGACAAATGAGGCGGTCCAGAAGGGTCGGGTGACAAACCGTAACTGCTCTGCGGGCGCAGTTAAATGATGGCTGTGGGGCATTCGCAAGCCTTGTCTGAGAATCCTTCTTCCCATTTGCGGCTCCAGAGTCTGTTTTTCCGCAGTCATTTAAAAGGGAACTGGGAAAATGAACCGCAGTGCCTGACACTTCCGAGGGCTCTGGTGCCCCCGCGTGGGGAGAGAGCGCCCGGCACGCTCGGGAGCACCAGCCCATTGCCACGGTCGCGGCGGGCACTGCGCAGGGGGCGCGCTCTGGCGCCAGATGCGCAACCAGCGGCGCCCTACGCGTGCGCGCCCCTGCCTGGCCGGTGCGCGACTCGCCAGACCTCTCAAGAGTTCCTGCCTGGGAAAAAGGCGGGCGATCCTCCCCTTACGAAAGGGCTACGGGCTGGGGTCTAGTCCAAAACAGGAGAATGGTCACCGATCTGTCCGCAGAAGCTGAGGATGGAAAGGATGGAGAAATCAAACGTTAGAATGAATGCTCAGATCTCCGTGACGCCTTAAATATTACAAGAGAACGAAAAACATCTAGCGGGGCTGTTATACAGACTCCAGCCACTGAGTGTAACCGTGGGAATCCACGAACAGTACTCAAAAAAAAAAAAAAAATTCGCTGCAGGCTGCAAAGACAAGGCCTGCAGGTCTACTTTCCCGCAGTGACTGGGCTATGATACACTGAGTGGTCAGACTGTGAGGTTCATTCCTCAGCTCAGCCTCCATCCCCTGCATGAGGATGTGCCAAGGAAGAGGAGTCAAAGGCGAAGTGTCTTGATCCAACTCACACAGTAAAACTTAGCCTGTCTTGTCAGTGTCTTTTAAGTGAAGAAGCCCTGTGGAATATTCGTAGTAGAAGTCTATGCACAATTACCCACATCTCTCATATCACCCCATATTTATTTTCCAAAATGGCACATTTGTACCCCAGTGGCTGCAGAGTGTGATGCAGCATCCAAAGGACTAACAGTTTTAGACTGATTGTAGATGAGAAGATTCTAATTATTTTGGAATATTTGCAGAATTTGTATTAGAATAGATATATAATATTGTCTTTAGATAATAAATACATCCCATTGAGTATCTCCTACTTAAAATTTGAAAGGCTGCCCCACTTCTAATCACCCTTTTTGTGCTTTACATTTTGTCCACAGTTCTTTGATCTTTTAAAAAAATTTGTTACATAGAACAGCAGAATGCATTACAATTCATATTAGACATATAGTGCACAGTATTTCATATCTCTGGTTGTACACAAAGTAGAGTCACATCCTTCGTGTCTTCATACATGTACTTAGGGTAATGATGACCATCTCATTCCACCGTCTTTCCTACCACTTTACCCCCTCCCTTCCCCTCACTCCCCTTTGCCCTATCTAGAGTTCATTTAATCCTCCCATGCCCACTCCCAACCACATTATGAGACAGCATCCTTAAATCAGAGAAAACATTTGGCATTTACAGCATACTACAGGGACACAGCCACATCAATGTTTATAGTAGCATAATTCACAATAGCTAGACTGTAGAATCAACCTAGATACTCTTCAGTAGATGAGTGGATAAAAAAGGTGGTATATATATATATATATATATATATATATATACATACATATATATATCACATATATATATGTGCAATGGAATATTAGTCAATATTAAAAGAGAATAAAATCATGCAGGTAAATGGATGGAGATGGAGAATATAATGCTAACTGAAGTTAGCCACTCCCAAAAAACCAAATGCTGAATGGTTTTTTTTTTCTGATTTAATAGTACTTTGACCTTTTAACAGATCATTTACCATTACTCACTGAATATATATATGTATAGACAGAGAGAGATGTTTTATTTCTCTCAGTAAAATGAAAAATAAAGGCAGGGATTTTTATCAATTTTTTCAATGATATAACTCAAGGACATAGTAGATGTTAAAATGTGTGTATTTAAAACATAAACTAAAATTGAAATTTAACTTTCTTGACCTCTAACTCTCCTTCTCAGCTCCACAATTTTGAATATCCCTGTGCTCTGAGCTCTCATAACACTTCTTAAAACCTTATTTTCTGACCTTCTGGTACCCATATACATTCTAGCACTGGCCTGGGGATGGCTCCCATTCATTCATGCTGGAAACTCAAGACTAGCATGCACAGTATGTAGAATATATTGACCATCAATAACTATTTCTTAAATGATAGAACTGTGGATCTATTTCCACTTATAGGTCTTATATATAAGTTATGTGCATGTATGAATGTGTAACAATGCATCCCACCATTATGTGTAATTATAATGGTGCTAATTAAAAAATATGTGAGAAAAAAAGACCTACCAGCTATTTCCCAGAGATCATTTCAGGGATTCTCAGATCATAGCTTTCATCATGGTTCAGATCATGATGAACATTTTTCAGATGGATACTATGAAAGAGATTATTTTCCCCAGATCCATTCAACACAAGGATGGAGAACTAAGTGTCATGGTGTCCTGCCTGTACCTACAGCAGTGGTCAAAATATTATGACCCTGTCCAGGGCCAGACCATGATGATGAGTATGGTAGGAAATGTCTTTTACATCACAATCCAATGCACACATTCATGAATGCATATAGCTTTAAAATAAAAGTTTTCACAACAAAACTTATTTACCCTTAATACATGAAATGTACTAATATTTCTTTTCTATAACATTTCACTTTTTAATGCTTGTAATAACCCAGTAAATTGATTTTAGCATCCAATACTGGGTTGTAAAAAGTAACAAAATACTGCCAACTTCTGCTTCTGAGTCTGGTGGAGTAATAGGGAACAGATTTACTCTCCCAAACAACTAACACACTGAACAAAATATGAAACAAAGGTTTTTTAAGACAGTGGGCATAAGACAATGAAGACTATGGCTCGGAAAGGGAACATAGACAGAGTTCTCTGAATAGAGGAGACATAGAGCATCAGGGAAAGCCAAAGAGAACAGAGTTCGCAGGACAGAGCAGCAAATAGAGACAGCAAGGAGTATTGTAAGAGAGAATTGCAAAGCTCCGCAGAGGGTCCCTCTGAAGTACTTAACAGCACTGAATAGCCCATGCAGTGGGGAAACCACCTGAAGTCAGGCAAAGAAGCACTGACCAGATTAAAGGGTGGAGACAAGAAAAAAAAAAAAAAACATCAAAAGGAAAATGAAAACACTACCTATCAGAATGTGTGAGATATCACTAAACCAGGGCTTAGGGAGAATTTTAAAGAACTAAATGCTTATATTAGAAAAGAATGAAGGTCTCAATGACCTCAGCTTCCACCATAGGAAACCAGGAAAAGAAAAGCAAATGAAACAGAAGGTAAGAAGAAAAGAGGAAATGAAACAGGCCAAAGCAGAAAATAACAAGAAAAAAAGGGGGGGGGATCAATAAAACCAAGAGCTCTTTCTTTGTAAAGATCAAATAAAATTGATAAACATTTAATCAGACTGATCCAGAATAAAAGAGAGAAGACCCAAATTTCCAACAACAGAAATGAGATTAATGACAAACCCTAGATATTCTATAAATATTAACAAAATAGTAAGGGTAAGCTATGAATGACTTCTTGCAAATAAAGTTGACAATTTAAATGAACATATTATATGAGAAAAGCTAACAAAGCTCACTATTGAAGAAATAGATTACCTGAAAAGTTGAATATCTAATACAGAAATTAAATTTATCCATAAAAGCCTTTTCACAAAGAAAACTCTGATAGCTAACATAACCCTTAAAGTAGAAGTCAGAATGTCTTTGCCCTATTATGAAGAAAACTGGGAGAGCTACTTTTATCTTTCTGTTCAACTTTGTGCTGGATATTTTAGTCAGTGAAATAAACCAGAGATCTAAAAAGACTATAAAGAAGAATAAAACAGTTTTTATGGACAAACAACATAATCTATATAGAAAATCCAATAAAATCTACAAAGAAGCTACTCAAATAAATAAGTGAATTGTCAAGTTTTCAGGATGCCAGTTGAATCTTTACAAGTCATTTTTTTTAAAGAGAGAGAGAGAATTTTTAATATTTATTTATTTTTTTTTTAGTTTTCGGCAGACATAACATCTTTATTTGTATGTGGTGCTGAGGATTGAACCCAGGCCTCATGCATGCCAGGCGAGCGCGATACCGCTTGAGCCACATCCCCGGCCTCTTTACACATCAATTTTATTTTTATATCCTAACAACAAACAATAATAAATTGCATTTTTATATACCAATTATATACCAATTAACAACATCAAAAATATGAAATACTAAAAAATAAACACAATCTATAAAAGGGATCAGATGGATAATTGGTGTCATAAAAATTAATAAATTTTGCTCTTGGAGAATTTATTAAATAAATTATTAATTAAAGAAGAAAAGGACACTTTAAAGAATGAAAAGTCATCTAATGGGAGAAATACTTGAAAATTATACATATGATGTATAACTTGTATTAGATCATTTAAAGAATTCTCAAAACTCAATAATAATACAATAATTTTATCCCAGCAATTTGGGAGGATGAGGCATGAGAATCACAAGTTCAAGTCCAGCCTTAGCAACTCAACAAGACCCTATCTCAAAATAAAAAATAAAAAGGACTGGAAATATACCTCAGGGGTAAAGTGCCCCAGGATTTAATCCCAATACCAAAAAGTAAAACAAAATAGTTTTTAAAATGTGTAAATGACTTGAATCTTCTTTATTAAAGAAGATAAGCAGTTGGAAATTACACATAAAAAGATGCTTAAAGTCATTAGTAATTGGAGAAATGCAAATGTAAACTACAATGAGATGCTTATAATCTAATCTGTATAGGTAAAATTTAAAAGATTGACCTAGCCTACTGTTAACAAAAATATGGAGCAACTGGAACTCTCATATACTGAAGATGGGAGTGTAAAATGGCATAGCCACTTGGAAAAGCAAAGCAATTTATTTAAAAGTTTAACATACACTTATCACAAAAAATATTTTACTGTAAATGCATGAGTTTTCTGTGTTGTTTATTAGTTCCATTAGTCTATGTGTCTCTTTTTTTATGCCAGTTTATTTTAAAGTCAGGTAGTTTTCTTTGCAGTAAAGAAAATATTCAATGAAATGAAGAGACAACCTATGGAATAGGAGAAAATATTTTCAAAATAGTTATCTGATGAGAGATTAATAACCAGCATATATAA